AAAATATTTGTCTCCATATTCTTACAATGAGCCTGTATTACTTTTTAATCAGAAAAAGTTATTTACAAACTAGCTATATAAAATGTTGAGCATTCAGATCTAATTTTAGAAAAACATAATAGTCTCTTCTGTAAAAGAAACTCTGAAGTAGTAAGTTGAATTCAGCATTGTAAATGCAAAAAAAAAATGGAAGTATCAGACTACTTGGAGTTGATGTGTTAATTTTCTGTTGGTATGGTACATTTACCATCTCCGTTTAAATTCTCAATAATCAATTTATTCAGAGAGAGAAGTTACAATTTTTAAGGAAATTAAAAGACCTAGTGTAATGTTGGTGGTTCTGGAATATATATGTGGTGATTTCATAAAACACTTATATTTGCAAGGAATTCATTTAATCTCTTAAAGCACTAATAGTAGATAGTCAAACAATGTGACATTCTTTCATATGTAGCAAAGACCTACTTTTACAAAGGTATTATCTGTGTTTATTTGTTGTTTAGAATTTTGGAACATGAATTGTAATCAGTGATTATTTTACGTGTGTCAAATTCAAATCCTAATGATTTCTTCTTCCCTCTCTTTATGTTCAGCCTTTTCTATTTGCATAGCTACCTTGAGGATATTAAATGGATTCTTTTTCCTGGGAAATGTCTATCCTCCAAATTATGTTATTTAGAGAATCATGATCCAGTGTTTAAACTAGAATGTTTTCCAATATACTGTCTCACTTCTACTGTATTTTAAAAGTAGTTTGAGAAGTGTAGAATATGGGTTTGTCAATAGACTTGAATTCTACTAAGAAAATATGTACTCTATCGTGACTCAATAAACTCATACTTAGTACAGTTCAGCTTCTTCATATTTACTCTTGCTCATATTAGAAAACAATTAGCTTACTAAACAAATCTGAGTATTTGGTGGTGGTAAGGGGGGTGATCCTCTCTGAATCTTTTTTGAATTTGACTAAGAATTATAGGATATTTGATAACCATGTTTAAAAATGGAGATATCCAAATATTATTGTAAACACCCAATGATTTGTTTTACCTACAATATAAGTATTTTACTTGGTTGGCTTACATAGTAGCTAATAATATTTGTTAATGTAATTTAACTGCTGTGAACCTTTACTGAACAAATATTGAAATTTATTCAAGTCAAAGAAAGAGAATCTCTAATGACTTTTGTTAAAGCTTCTATTTAATAGTTAAGAAGAAAAGTTTGTATGACATATGAGATGCAATTAACAGTAGATTTTACATTTAATAAAAAGAAAGAAGCATGCGTATTTGCTTTATTCATTCCATCATAATTTGCATTAGAGCTGTGGGTGTTTAATGAGCAAATTCCAACTAAAATGCTATATTGATTTTCTAGTGAACTTTGTAATAGTCATCTACCTTGGAAAAGCTCAGTGTTTACAATTAAGTTTTCTTTACTAAAAATGTTCGAGAGTTGCATATTGATCCTTTAAAAGTTCTGAATTCTAGAATTATGTTTTTCATAATTAACAAATTTTACATACATAAAACCTAAAAACTTAAATATTATCACTCAGTAATATCTTAATGTTGAAAAAATTTCATAGCATTTATAAAATATATAATCAGATTTTATGTGTGTGTTTGTGTCTTACGGTATTTTAAATTTTAACTTTAGTATACTTAGAAGATAATCTTTAAATGCACACATTATTTACATCTTTGGAGTTGATATAGCATTATAGAGGAACAAATAATTTTTTTTTCTTGATCACATTGAACCAAATAAGCCCTCAGCGTAAAGTGTTTACCTTTAAGCATAAAAATAACTAGACTTATTATTAAAGCTTTTAATATTGCTAGCCTTACCTCTTTCATCAAATGTTATTGTAGTTAAAGTGGAACAGAGCTTACATTAAATGTCATTTTATAAAGATTTCATCACACTTTACAGAAGCCTATTGATGTTAAAGTTTTAGTAATTAGTATTTTAACCTTTTGACGTGCCAGAATATTTCAAGATAAAATAATATACATATTAATCTATACTCAGATCACTTTTTAGCATCATTTTATGCATCCTATCTTACTTAGAAATTAGAAGTGTTTTAAATGTAAAAATTTAAAAGTATCTTAGAATATCATATTTTATACAAACTATTATATCATTATAATATGCAGTATACGATATAGAATGAGATCTGAATAATTTTCTTCCAGTCCCTCTTTATAATTTTTGCAATCCTACAAAAAAGGCTAAAAAGTAAGGACTTTTTTTTTTTACATACATAAGTGGTCCAAATTAATCAAAATCACATTTTTAATATGTCTGGAAGTGAAACCACATCGTAAGTGTGTGGATTGAGAGTGGTGATGGTAGTAGTAGCATGGAACTAATGTTTATTGAGAATCCACTTTGTTTATCTGGCCAAGAGCTTCCTTATATTATCTTATTTACCTTTCCCTCACAACATAAATGGTGGTATTATATCCATTTTATACACTCGAAATGCTACTAAAATAATTTAAGAAATATACTCTATATAAAAATGAATTGTGTAAGTTTATATGATAAGGTCTTGGATCTAATCAAAGTCCATATTCTTCCTAATACATGTTACTTTTTCTAAGCTGTTAGGAGTATCTTGCCTGGAAGGAGATTGTGTACAATCAAGGGAAAAATAAAACTCACTATTGCCTTCTACATTACGGGCAGAAGTTTCTTTCAAAACAGCCTGATGAGTTGATACATAATAACAGACTAGTATAGCCACAGAAAGCCACATAGTAGTAAATGATACTACCTTAAAAAAATTATAAAAATTGTGCTGAAATGTACTCGTTCTTTCAAAAGCCAGTTTCATAACAAGAATTTCTTAACCTTATCTAAATTATCAATTAAAAGTATTTGATTTTATGCAAATGGATATCCAGTTGATCAGCACATTTTGTCAGAGAGTTTTTTTTATCCATTTATCTGGTGATAGAAATTCGGGTTGTTTCTCGTTTGGGGTTATAATAAATAAAGATGCTATGAGTATTTGTGTTTAAGTTTTTGTATGAACATAATACTTTAATTTCTCTTGGATAAATATCCATGAGTGAAATAGCTGAATCTTATAGTAGGTGTATGTTTAATTTTTTAAGAAACGGACAAACTGCTTAATCTATTCTCCATCTGCCAAAAACACTGTTTTCTCTTACTCGGCCTAATTTTCCTTCAAAACCTTTACTACGATCTGTTACCTATATCTACCTATCTGCCTACTTAATGTTTGGCCTGTTTTTCTTTCTACTGTCTGTCTCTCTGTAATAGAATGTTTACTTCAGGATGAAGACTTTTCAGACCACTATATTCATATTCTTTAAAACTGGATGGATAACTGCCACAGGAGCTTAATAAATATTGGATGGATGGATGCATGGATGGATGAATGGGTAGATGGATGGATGGATATTTCTGTCGATGGATATTTTTCTTCCCTTAGGTTCAGCTTGTTAGAAGTGATTTTGGCTTTTGCTCTGGCATTGCATGTTCCATTTCCTGCTCTATTATGCAAAAGATAATACAGTTGGCCCTCTGTATCCACAGGTTTGGTATTCACAGATTCAACCAACCACAGATCAAAAATAGTCATACAAAAAAATTCCCAGAAAGTTCTAAAAAGCAGGACTTGAATTTGCCATGCGATAAGCACTATGCTGAATCCATTCAAATGAAATATTGTGTAAGCGTACCCTGCTATAGCCTATATGCAAATATAGGTCATATACAAATACTATGCCATTTTATATACAGGACTTGAGCATCTGTGGATTTTGGTGTCCATGGGGGTCCTGGAAACAATCCCTTGTGCATACTGAGGGACAACTGTGGTTGATTTAATCTCAGGGTTTGTTTCTTCTACTTATAATTTAATACAAAATAATTGTCTTGATTAACTGTATTGATCTATGATAAATCCTAGCAGAAACCTAATGTTTTATGCACTAAAAGAACGTTTCAACACCTTTTCTAAGTTTATTTTGTGTTTGACAGTACAAATAAAATTTGAACCAGTAGTCCAGGTTTTTGAGGCCCTTTTTGTCTAACATAGTGATATTTTAAGTTATGTAAGATTTCAAGTAGAAATTATGCTTGAAAAATAATTTCAGATTACATCAAAGTTGTTTTTATAGCACTGCACAAATCTAGATGATGCCATTAGTATTATAATCTATATAAATGGTGCCTCTAGAGATATGCAATGCTAAAGCAGCACAACTTTGTCACTGTTTAATCTTCCCTGATCTCATTTCCTTTCCTCTCCTTCCATCATCCTACTGAGGCAACTACTACCCTGACTTTGGTATTTATCATTTCCATGCTTGTTTTAATATTTTCACTAAGTGTCTATCAGTAAATAATAGGTAGCTGTCTTTGCAACTTGCTGTTTTTGCCAAAATTTCATTATTGAGATTTTTCCATTTGTCCATAGTTAATTCATCTTAAATGCTGGATAATATTCCATTTTGAATGTTAAGTGAGTTATTTATTCTTTCTGCTGTTCTCAGACATTTGAGTTATTTCTAAGTTCTTGCTATTATATAGTGCCACAATAAGCATTTTTATACGTTTCCTTGGGCACACGTGCAAGAATTTCTTTGGGCTACACACCAAAGGGGAGATTTGCCAGGTTATAGCCTAGACACATTTTCAACTGTTGTAAACATTGCTAAATTGTTCCTTTATGGTTGTAGAAAAATATACACCTATCTGCAGTATATATGAGTTTACTTTATTTCACAAGCTCCAATATTTGTTATTACTTGACCTTTTAATTTTTGCTTTTATGCGTATAAAATGGTATCTCAACTTTGCAGCAGCTTTTAAAAATAATCTTTTCTCAAGTGATTAATTGATAACAATTCAGTTGAATTAAATAACAGAATTATTTTTGGGGGTCTATTTTTTGCTAAAAGTATGCATTTCTCTTTTATTTTCTCTTATTAATTATGGATTATATATTTTGGTAGCTCTGGTTGAAGAAGTGTATTCTGCACAGAGAGAACGTGATGAAGCTGTTATGTCTCGACTGCAGTTAGCCAATGAGGAGAGAGACGAAGCCATCGCACAAGTCAAGCACATGGAAATGTCTCTAAAAATGTATGTACACATGTAAAACTATATACAACATTAGGAACATTTATAAAGTGCAAGTGTTATGTAGTGGTTACATATTCGGAAATGTTACTGATTCTTGTATGTTACATTGGTACATTCTACATCCCCATAGTCTTTCTAAAACTTCCGGCATGTTGTAGTAGTTTGCATGTCAAAAATGAAAGGCAGACACACACACACACACGTACACAGAGAGAGTTCTGTTGTTGATGTCCTTAGTTTGCCTTCCATTGTGACTTCTCTCCTTTTTATTATCACTTTCTTAATTTATTTCAGCTGTGTTGGTTATTTGTCTGCTCTGTGTTTAATATGCTCATTTCTATTTTTCATTACATTTGACTTGTTTTAGCTGTGGCTCTTAAACTTTAGTGACACCTGAAATACAGTGGCGTCTGAGAATATATTTTTAACAAGCAGCCGGGTGATTCTGATATTGGTAAATGATTGATCACAATTAGAGAAACAATGCCCTAGAAATAAGAACTTCATATTAATGTGGGCTCCAATCACTTGGAGAATCTTGATAAAAAAACACATTCTTGTTCAATAGGTCTGGAGTGGAGCCAGAGATTTTACCTTTTTTTCAAGCTCCCAGATGATGTAAATGATGTTAGTCAAAGGAGTACCCTTCAGGTAGAAAGGCCCTAGATCATCTAGAAATATGTTACTTGTAAGATTGATAGACTGTAGTAGTGTAATATTTTATGATGATCCATCAGTATACTTATTGAGTGTTTGCTCTGCCCAACATTGTACTAGGCTAAGTGCAGGATCACAGTAAAGTACTAATTGAAACATGGTTCATTAGGGAGACAAGTCATTATATTATTATCATGACAGTATTCAAGTTATGATTAGGTAATGTGATTTGGTTTTTGTTTAATGGCTTCATTGCGGGTGGGGGGTGTGCAGAAGACTGATACTTATTATAAAGCATTAAACTCATTGAAAAACAAATAAAGGAACAAAAATTTTACCTATATTTTACACTGTCTACTCCCAAATAACTGTCTTTATCAATAGGGAAACATCATTCCAAACACTTCTCTTTGCTTAGAAACTTAAATACTATTATCTGAAAGGATAGATGGTTGGTGATTTAATGGATATATACATAGAATTAATTTGGTAGAAATCAAATCATTCTCTATATTCTGTTTCATTTGAGAAGTGTAATAGTGTAGAGGTTAAGAGCACAGATTCCAGACTCAGGCCATCTATCTTTGAATCTTGGCTCTATCACTTCCTATCTGTATAGCCATGGACAAGTTACTCAGAGTCTCTAGGACTGTGTTTTTCTGTTTTTGTTTGTTTGTTTGTTTGTTTGTTTTTGTCTACAAAATGGTTAAGTAGCATCTACTTTACATAGGTTGTTATGAGGATTAAATAATCTAATATATTGAAAAGTACCTGGCTTATAGCAAATGATGTAATAAGTATCACTTCAATTTAAGAGTAATAATCAACTGAAGTAAAACTAAAGAAATTTTTGAACTTCATGCAGTGTTTTCTCTCAATAAAATGTATTCTCTAGAGATCCATCTAAATTTAAGAAAAAAGACTAAAAAACATTAAGTTGTTAGAATCATCAATTATTTTCAGTTTTTGGAAACATAACAGTATTTCAGTTAAACAGTATCATTTGACTCTTAGCTATGAAATAATCAGTTTTAAACTTTTTCTTTTTTTTTATAAAGTCAATTTTTAAAATATTTGTAAAAGTTAGTAAATCCAACTTGTACTATTCCATTCCCTGTTCTTTCTAGTTCATTTATTAAAGTGTTTGTTTATGATTCTCAATCTCTTTGGTTTTCAATTTCTCTTTTTATTCACTCTTGTTTTGGCATCATCTTTTGAACTATATTTTATTGAATTTGTGTTCTTTTGTTCTCCTAAAATGCCAATGACTAGTAGGAAAATTTTCTTCTTCTCCTTGGTTTTGTTATTTTTTATATTATGATCTTTATCTTTTTTGCATAGTATTCTGTCATGTTTATGGTGTATTCATAGTTGACATGTCTTTTTTCTTTATCTTGCTCATGCTTAAATTGTCAAGAACTTTTCTGTGTTCTGATATGGTACAGTGAATTTTCCTTGATAAACATTTTTTATTATTTGAAACCTGTTTGCCTTCTCCTCTGAGCAGCAGTAGCTTGGGTAGGTATTGCTTTCTAACCACCTACATAGCCCAGGGCAGCAGGGTGGGTATAGAGGTTGGGAAGAATTCCCTGGGGCTGTTTGCCCCTTTTAGTGTCCTGCATGCACCCAGGGTTCACTTTACCTAGTCTTGTGTATACCCTAATTCCTTGGAGTATTACTTTTGGCCTTTTATTTGTTCTACCAATACAGTGGAAAATGACCAACCCTGATGAATCTTACTTCCTCTCTAAAGATTCTTCAGTAATGCAGGCTTCTACTCAGGAAGGTTTTACTTTTCTTTGGCCTGTCTGTTCACTTCATTGGTCTCTCAAGTTATTTCCAAGTTGTGTGGTATTAGTGAAAAATTCTCAGGATTTGGTGAGTTGTCTTTTCTCTATATGTGTTTTCATGTGTAAAAGGGAAAGTTAGGTGAACCTGACCAAAATCATCATTTCTCCACCTGTTGCCCTGTTTCTACTTTTAAAAAATTACTGTGCAATGTCCTATTTCCTTTACTGTTTGATTAATTTTTATCTTTTGTTCATGTGGTTATAAGATGGGATAAATAGATTTCTGCGTTCAGATTTCACTCCACCATCTTTACTTGGACTTATTTTTTTCCCCAGTAAACTTTTTTTAGAATACTTTTAGATTTACAGAAAAGTTTTGAAGATAGTACAGAGTTCCCATATGACCTCTTCACCCAGTTTTCCTTATTGTTAATGTCTTAACATTACCTTCGTATATATATCATATGAGAGAGAGCAGCATTATAACGTAACTAGTAATTAAACTCCACCCTTTATTCAGATTTCACTGATTTTTTTCGTAATGTCCTTTCTATGTTTCAAGATTCTATCCAGGGTTCCATATATACTTAGTTGCTATGTCTCCTTTGCTTACTCTAGTCTGTGAACATTTTCTCAGACTTCTGTTATTTTTGATGACCTTGACAGTTTTCTGGAGTAGTGGGTCAGGTATTTTATAGAATGTCTCACAATTTGGAGTTTTCTGATGTTTTTCTTATGGTTAGACTGATGTATTGGTTTTTTGGGACAAAGAGTACAGGAGTGAAGTGCCATTCTCATCATCACATTATTTCAAGGTTATATGTTGTCAGTGTGACTTACACCAATGATGCTAATCTTGATCACCTGGTCAAAGTAGTGTTTGCCATGTTTCTTTCTCCACAGTAAAATTACTTACACATATTGCCCTTTCATACTCTACTCTTTGAAGCAAATCACTTAAGTGCAGCGCACATTCAAGGAAGGAAGAGAAGAGGTAGCCTGGGAGGTTAATTAAGCTTTACTTCCCTCAGAGAAGAATATCTACATAAATTATTTGTAATTCTTTAGTACAAGAGATCTGTCTCTTCTCCTTCATTCATTTGTTTATTTAGTTATTTATATCAATGTGACTCAATATTCATTTAATACGTTGGGTTATAACATATTAACCCCACTTTGTTGCTTGGAGTATTCCATCTTTGGCCTTTGGAAACTCTTTCAGTTGCTTCTTTTATCCATTTGACGTGTCCTCATCCTTTTGATTTTTGAACACTTTACTTTTTGGCACTATGAGATGCTCCGGGGTCATGTTCTATAGGGATGTATTGAGATGTCCCCCACCCCTAGAATCAGCCATTTCTCAAAGGTGCCCTGGTCCCTTTTATTGGAAAATGATATTAGAAACCAAGATCAGGAGGCCAGGTGTGCTCATTGTTGCTGGGTATGACTACTCCTAGGCCTAATGAGGAGAAAGAGCTAGGAAATAAATGTATGTATACTAACTAATGTATATACACGTTTCTGTAATTATTTATGTATCTATCCATTTGTATCTTTCTTAAGCTAAACCTGAATTCATAATGTCTTTGATTCTAATCCAGTACCATATAATTCATTCTAGCTTTCCCCTTTTTTCCCGTATGTAATTTCCCTCTACAACAGTAAGAAACTTGGCTCCCACCCCACACCATCCATTGACTTATTTTTCTACTTCGGTATACATTATAATGCTTTTAGAAGCATTAACACATACCTCCATGAGAAACAACTTTACCAACCAGAGTACACCGTTTATATATAGTTCCTTTAGTCAAGTCTTGTAGTTTCCAGTCAAAATACCACTTTGCAAAGTTACTTAGATTGGCTCATTTGTTTTACGTACCTCCTTAAGTGAGGTTATGCCATATATTTCTAATGTGTCAGGCTTTCTTTCACAGTCTGCATCCTATCCTAGAATCCTCTGATCTCGTGATTTTTTAAAAATTTTTTGGGAATTTTGAATAAAGTTTCTATAAGCATTCTCATACAGGTTTTTGTGTGGGCATATGTTTCAAGTCAGTTGGTTAAACCTAGTAGCTTAATTGGTAGGACTTACGTTAAATCTGTGTTAACTTTGGGAGGAACTGCCAGACTCTCTTCCATAGTGGCTGTACCATTTTGCATTCATACCAACAGTGAATCAGAGTTCTTGTTGCTCTCCATCTTTACCAGCACTTGAAATTGTTATTTTTGTTTTGTTTTGTTTCTTATTTTGGACGTTAGCCAATCTCTGGTGACAAATAATATTGAGCATCTTTTTATGTTTACTTGCCATCTTTATATCTTCTTGGGTAAAGTGTCTGTTCATATATTTGACCAGGTTTTCAAATTGGATTGTTTGTTTTCTTGTTAATTTTTAGATTTCTTTATATTTCTGGATTAAGTCCTTTATCAAATAGTTGATTTTCAAATATTTTCTTAGAGTTTATGTACTTTTTAAAATTCTTTTAGCATTGTGTTTAGCAGAACATTACTTTTCAATTTTGATAAAATTTAATTTATTGATTTCTTCTT